TTGGGTCATTTGGTTTAACCTGAGGTGTCAATTCTGATCTTTCCCAGCCAGGGTGAGAGGCTCCGTGTTTATTAGTCTGTGTGGTTGATAAGCAACTTGTCCTTTTGGGAAGCGTTAAAGATTCATTATCACCTCCCAAATGGTTTCCTGGGTCGTAAACGGGAAATTGGTGTGAACCATTACTTCCCCCATCGACTCTCCAAACCAAGGGAGCCTGCATTCCTTTGAGGGGTGAATTAAAAGTGGATAGCAGAAAGCAGTTGTCTCGTTACAAATCCCCCCTTCGTCTCGATGGCAGCTCCAGGAGCCATTGGGACGACGAGATGAGACGACCAGGTGGAAGCAGCAGTTAGTCCAAGGAGGGTGATGCGTCTCGTCCAGAACTAGCTACTTCGTTAGATCTACTGTATGTGTTAAGCCTACTAAATATATGTGTGCAGGGTTACAGGAAGCTGACTACACCTCGAGCATGTGGCTCACCTGGGGCCTTATGTATCAATACTTGCGTGGAACTCATACCAGAAACGAGCGCACGCAAGGTCCGTCACGCTGAAAAAAATCTGTATGTATCAATGTGTGCGGGCGCCGAAATCCACGTGTGTTTCCTTGATAAATCCCAATCAGCGTGGAATTGAGCGCAGATGTCGGAGTGACTGGGCCAGCCCCCGTTACGCCCTCCTATAAATATGCAGATTTATTTAAATCGAGTCTCCCTGTCCTCGCACGCAGACAAAACGACAAGAAAAACTAAATTTACGGCGTGTGAGGTGGAGGTGCTGGTGGCGGAGGTGGAGGAGCGACAGCGTGTTTTGTTTGGCAGCCTGTCCAGTGGCGTCAGTGCAAAACGAAAACGCTTGGAGTGGGAGAAAGTTTGCGAGAGGGTGAACGCGGTGGGTTCCGAGACACGCACCCCAGAGGAGATTAAAAAAAAGTGGTCGGACCTCAAGGTGGAGGTCAAGCAGCGTACAGCTGCCCTCCGGAGGAGTACTGGCCAGACAGGTGGGGTTCCGGGGGAGGAGACCCTCACACCGTTTGAGCAGCGGGTGGTGGCGATTATTATTATAGGGTAAGTGGCGTGTCACACAAATTTCCACATGCTTTGCCATCCCACTGAGCAAAAGACGTATATTAGACGTCTAGTCTAAGTTTATACTTCATTTCAACGTCGGGATTCAGTCTATTTTTAGACGTGATTTATACTTCGCCCTTAACTTCATTTTTCGATAACTTTTTATGCAATAAACAACTGTAATGTGCATAACTGACCTCGAAATACTGGATTACATTACCTATGATACCGTGGAGAGAGATGTAAACGCAACAGATACACAGAAGCAGGAATTGAAATGAACCAATATTTTTATTGTGTCACAGAAATCAATGTGTCGGCCGTGTCGCCGGCTTGCGGAACCCCGGCCCGCGGCAGCCCGTCCGCCGGCTCGGAGTCGTTGGCCAGGACCAGCGGCATTCGGGCCACCCCGGCCCCCGGCCCCAGCACCAGCATCTGCACCAGCGCGCCGACAAGCGGTGGAGCGTCCACCAGCCGCGGCGCTTCCGCTGGACCACCCGGATGCAGTGGAAGGGTCCTCACGGAGGACTGTGTCCTGCGCACCGTGTGTCATGGGCGTATGTCAACATCACCCCCCTGTGGCTGCGAGGCACCATCAGGGCAGGCGAAGTGAGTGCATCGGAGACATAAACCAGAAAGCCCTTGACGAGCCGCAGCGAAGAGCGCACGCGGAAAAGATGGCGCAGGCCAGGGATGGAGTCAAGCAAGACAGGAGACATGGAGGAGTCAGGAGGCCCTGAAAGGAACTGCGTCATGGCAGCAATGGCTGGGTCCGAAGCTTGGAGCGCCAGCAAGTCAGAGTCAGAAAAAGCCAGAGCCACAGTGGCGGAGACCGGGCCCGAGGGAGCCGGGCGAGGTGGAGCTCGAGACTGGGCTCTGGTGACAGCACAAACCAGGGGCACGGGTGGGAGGGGAAAAACAGAGGGCTCAAAGTGCCAGTTTGAGCCAGTTAAGGCTCCCTGCTTGGCTAAGGAGTCAGCCTGGTCATTAAACATCTTGTCTGGACCAGGAATACGAGAGTGCCCCCTGACTTTCTTCCAGTAGATCTGGAGATCATGGTTAGAGGTCAAGAAATCGCACACCAGGAAGAGATCTTTGTGTTTGACCGGCTTTCTGTTCGAGGTCAAGAAACCGTTGTGTTTCCACAAAGGCAGATGGCATGAGAAGCTGAGTCGCGCATAGTTTGAATCTGTACAGATCGTCAAGGCGTGGATTTTGTGTTCCACAGCAAGTTGCAAAACAATCAGAATGCCTGCCACTTCAGCATACTGGGACGTTTGGGCCCCTAGGTTGAAGCTGAGTGGTTCACACGGTTCGTTGTTGACCCAGACAACACCCACGCCTGCTCGGAGAACAGTGTCGTGATGGTATGAGCAACCATCAACGTAAGCTGTAATCATGTCTTTGCAGACATTGTAGTCGAAGTACCGGTGGCAAGATAATTCAGGTGGCTCGAGGTCGCAGGTTGGGGACCCTGTGTCCGAGCTGTCTGTCAAGCAGCTTTGGCATGCTGCGAGTTCCATCCCGAGAGGTGTTTTGCGATTTTGGGCATAGTGGACCTCGATGTCGAAGCTCTGAAGAGCCATAAGCCGAGATGCTACACGAGCGTTGGTTACAACGCCGTCTCTGATTCTTTGGCTGTTAAGGAAGGTCACTGGTTGATGATTGGTTTCCACAATCACCTTTTGGCCTCCAAGATAATTGGAAAAATGCTTCACAGCCCACACAGTGGCGAGAAGCGCTTTTTCGCAGTCGGAGAACTTCAGTTCAGGAGCCAACAAGGTTTTGCTAGCATACGCGACGACTCGTTTATCTGAGTCATGGATCTGGTATAATCCTGCACTGAGGCAGTGACAAGAGAAGCCGACCTCCAGATAGAACGGTCTGTTGCAGTCTGGGTAGGCAAGACAAGGAGCTGCACAGAGTCTGTCTTTTAAAGCTTGCATGGCGTGTTGTTGGGACGGTCAAGTGAATGGCACATCCTTTTTCAGTAAGTTGGTGAGGGGTTTTGCTAAGTCTGCATAGTCCTCAATGAACTATCGGGAGTAGTTGCATACTCCCAAAAAGCTGCGAAGCTCTGAGATGTTTGTGGGAGCTTTAAGGTTTGACAGTCCTTGAATGCGACTCAGCTGTGGTTCGACCCCTGTTGGACCAACAAGCAAACCGACGTAGTTCACCTTGGTCCTGCACCACTGACATTTCGACAGAGATATCTTTGCCCCGGCATTCGTGAGCTGGTTCAGGACATGGTCAATCTCGGCGAGAAGCATGTCCAGGGTTTGGCTCCTCATTAGGATGTCATCGACATATATGAGGGTGCCTCTCTCACTAGCATCTGGGCAGGCTTTGTTAAGAAAGATGTTGAACTCTGCTGGCGAGTTGGCATAGCCGAAAGGGCATCGGGTGAAGGTGTACTGCCTGTTGGCAAAAGTGAACGCCAGTTTGTGCTGGTCAGCTTCGTGTACTGGTATCGTCCAGAACCCTGATGCCACGTCAAGAGTGGAGAAGTATCTTGCATCAGTAATCTTTGGCAGATCCTGTTGGAGCTGAGCCATAGGCCACCTGGAAAGGGGAACTTGTTGGTTCGGTTTGCTGTAATCGATGGTCAGTCGCCATTTACCGTTTGGTTTCAGTACCGGCCAGAGTGGGGCTGAGTAGGTACTGTTACATGGCCGAATGATCCCCTTCGCCAAAAGATCGTCTATGATTTCCTGAATAGGTTCATAGGACGCTAAGGGAATTTTGTACTGGCGTACAAAAGTTGGTGGTGCATCCGGTGGTGTCGGAATGTGGATAGAGTGGATGGAGGTTAAGCCACAGTCAAGCGAGTCTTTTGCGAAAGAGGCTCGATACTTGTGCAGAAGTTTGCGAAGCTTTTCACTCTCCTCTTCGCCGTTCAGGGCGTCTGCTTCGGCTAGAAGCTGTTCGACTTTGGCGTCAAAGTCTGGATCGTGCTCAGGTGCTTGCACGGTTGGGGAGATAGAGGGTTCTACCCCGGAAAGTGTATGGGCCGTTTCTGGCTCTGAACTGACGTTTAGGACTTGCACTGTGTGCAGAACCATCTGTGAGTCCTCAGAGAGGTCGACCTGACAGATGGTGTCGTGGTCCAGCGGTACAGTTGGAAAGAGCGAGATAGCCCTGGAAGGTAGGGTATGAAAGACCTGTTCCGATGAATGGTCTGACATCAGAGAACGAGGCATTTTTCCTATTACAGGAATCCTCAATTCAAAGTCGTGGAACGACGTACTGATCAACCAACCCGGCGGGGTGGATTTAGGGATTAGGATATCCTCCGATGTCGTGTTTTGTACAAGCAAGTGTGTGAATCTCGAGTGAAGCTCAAGAAGAGGGGTTGCCTGAGTAGACAGCCCTAGTTTAAGAAAGAGTAGGTTCAAGCGAATGGGAACGTTTGTGGTCATTGCAGGTATGACAATGTTAAGTTCATTGGCTACCTGACAGGCTTCAGGGATCGACTGTCCTGATATGATGTTATCGACATCAGGGGTCTGGGTTTCCTCATTAACACTGGTAAGGGACCACAGTATGTTGTTAATGGTATTGACCTGGACTGCCAACCTGACCAGTACATCACTTCCCATGTAGACCTGATGTGGTAGGTCTGGGATGACCAAGAAGTGGTGAGTCATCTCCCTTTTGTTCCATCGCACAGTTAAGGCACAGACGCCTTCAGCAGTCATGGTAGCTTTAGGAAGGGAGTCCAAGGGGAAGCGAAATGCTTTCCGAACACACTGGAGGTTTGGGTCATCCCTAGATAAAGCTGATGGCTGATTTGTCAGCCCAAAGAGCCAAAATCACATCGTTGACGTGATTCTCATTCAAGTTAATGCCATCAGTGATCAATGGCCCGGGCGTGTCGGGTCCATTGGTGTCGTCCAATTTGCACAAAAATGTGTCCCTTTTCATGACTGAGTCATCGAAAGGCCACGAGCAAGGTTGTTGGCTTGTCGTCAGTCAAGTACGGTTGCTCCGGTGAGCTTACACTTGTCGGTGTGCTTGTAGCAGGTTCACGCGTCAGGGCGTAACACTGAGCCCGATTCTTGTCGGTTGCTGGTATGGGTAATGGTCTGCGGACCTGTGCCCATATTTTCAGCTGTCGATAATCGATCAGGGGCTCAAACCGTTTTAAAAGGTCTTGACCGATGAGGAAAGGAATCGACTCAAGGGGCGACACATACACGGGGTGCATGATTTTCATTGGTCCAATGGAGATGTTCAACATGGTCATTGTTTTAAGGTCGTACTGTCTGTGGAGTACGGCCGAATCTCCATAGCGCAGGGCTGCAGCTTGATGTCCCTGTTGGACTGCTGCACCAGATTGCGCAAGCGGTTAAAGAGCGTGGAGGACATCAGAGTGATGTCAGCAGCAGTGTCTAAGAGAGCTTCGTGTTGAAGTTCATTTTCAAGGATGGTATTAATGTAAAACTTCTGTGCGATGCCTTTCTCAGTGAGGTTGCGCAAGAATTGGAGGAAAGGTGGTTCAAGCCGAATAAGTGAGGAGTCTTCTTCGGCTGGCTCCTCTGCGGAGTTCGCCTGTACTACCAAGACGGCGCTGGTAGATGTCGTTTATTGTGATGTGTTGTCCTGAGGTTCAAGATTGACAGGAGTGTCAGCTGGTGAAGGTGTCACGGACTCCTGTAAGGACATACACACGTCCTCCTGAACTGCAGTCTGCTGGACAGGCATCATGTTTGGCTCAGAAGTGTCATCCTGGACGGCGGCGACGACGACAGAGAAGAGATCTGCTTTCTTATCTCTTTTTCCCTGTATTCTACGGATTATTTGTCTAAGGAGTTTGCGTTCTTCCTCTGTCAGATCAGAGGACTATGATTCACCCTTAGATCCACCTTTAGATCCACTACCCTTCTGGGGAGGGTCTGATTTGGCTTTTGTACCCATCTCTTCGTCAGAGAGTGCTGACTGAGACTGCGGGTAAGGTCGCTTGGAGTTTCGTTCTCGGCGTGGGCCATAACGATCTGACCGGTCTCTCCACCCCCTGTTGTCAGGTTGGTAGGGCCGATGGGTGTCATCCCTTCTAGGGTGAGCCCCATCCCTGCGAGAGTATGAGGGTGGACAATCTTCGTCAAATCTGAATGATCCCCTTCGCCAAAAGATCGTCTATGATTTCCTGAATAGGTTCATAGGACGCTAAGGGAATTTTGTACTGGCGTACAAAAGTTAGTGGTGCATCCGGTGGTGTCGGAATGCGGATAGAGTGGATGGAGGTTAAGCCACAGTGTAATTGTAATTTTAATGTCTTTGTTAAGAACTGCTTGAGGTGCCCCTCACAACAGACTTTCCAATCAACATATCAGATTAATCATGAGGTGTAGACATCAAGAATCAACATCCTGCAGGATACTCCAGGTGTGAAACATCCCCACCACCACCCCAGGGGGGTGGAGTGACAGTCCCCACAGAAAAACAAAAGGTGCCAACACAAAAGCCCCATTCCTTGCCCTCTGAGGGGCGGTCCCCAAGCAAGCATATAATGTGATGTTTTCCCCTTATTCGAAGTCTTTCTGGATTCTAACTGCTCGGATGCAGATTGACCTTTTTCTTTGCAAAGAAAAATAAATCAAGTAGATTTTGTCATCCACAAGCCTTCCAGTCCCTTGCATCAGTTGAGGACTGATCTAGGTTGCTTTTCACTCTTGACAACTCCTGTAATTGTTCAAGAACAGTGGACCTAGCGTCCGAAAGCTGAGCTTCCTTTTCCTCAATGGTGTCATGCAAGTCTGAGATTTGGGTTACTAAGGAAGGGTCTTGATCATGTTGGGATGGAGGCTCTGCTTGCATCTCATCCAAACGGTCTCGAGCTTGCTGTAGAGCCCTTTCCGTGCCTCCCAGCTCCCCTTTGAGATCATAAATTTCCTTCATTTGTGCCCGTATTTGTTCTTGGGCCCTCTCCATGGCTTCGTCTTGTCTCTTAATTTGGACAGACATCACACAAGCCAAGCGTGCTAAAGCTTTGGGGATCTCTTTTTCTTTAGGTGGGTGTTGTGCGACCCAATCGATCACCTCAGCCAGCACAGTTTGAAGCCCATTGTTATCAGTGCGATTCGTTTCGTCTACATAGCCTGGGAGCAGCGGCTGAGTCAGAATTGTCAGCGCATGCTTAAGCTCCTCACTGAATAGTTGCCAACCTGCCTCCTGACGTTCTGCCATGTTGCTTCAAGTTTAGTAAGGTTGGTAGGTTCATGAGTTTAACAAAATAGCCGTGCCTATAAAGCAATTTGAGAAAAGCTGTGAATTTAGGACCAGAAGATAAGCGCTTTAAGCAAAGTCTGGTTCACGATAAAATAGCTGGATGTTTATTTCCGGAATGAAACAAACAAAGGAAGCTAAAATAGAATTTGGATTTTAGCTGAAAAGGAATTACGTACAAAAATCAAACCTAATCACAGCCAAATCTCATAGTCCAAACCGGATTTGGTCAAATAAAATTTACATAAAGGAGTACAGGGAAGCCTTTGAAGTAAATAGCGGATTGTCAGGTAAGTGTGGAAGGAAGGTAAAAACTGAAAGTAATCAGGATCAACAATGCAGTTGTAGATGCAATTAAATCTTTCAAGTCTTCACAAGATAATCAAAGTAAAATTGTCCAAATTCAATTGACCTAAGAGGAATAAAACAAAAATTCTGATCGTAAGTTGATTAGGGGATTATTGAATTAATTGATTAATGTTACATTAATGAATTAACTATTGCCCTAAGTCTGTGATCACCTTTAAGTGTTTTATAAAGGGTCAAAGAAAGATGGAGGCAATGAACAATGATCACAGGATGACAAAGATTTGATTCAGCTATTCTCCTTGATAAGGCAGGTGATCTATCTGTATAAAGTAAAAATGAAAGTTGTTTTTCAAGTAAATCAACGTTTTATTTGTAATACAGAAAATAAAACTCAATCAACCAACTCAATCTGACTATGTCTGCATGGCATCTGTTTGACAACAGGGAGGCGTGGCAGTCGGCTAGACTGCAGTCTGTTTACAATGAGGTCCAAGCAAAACAAAGGCCACGTGGCTGTGAGCCGGCTTGCAGTGCTTGCCGCTCACCACACGAGGGCGATGTTCTAGGGGGCGGTTCAACCGCTCCGTACGTCGCGACGTTATGACGTAGCTATTGGGCTCCACCCCTCGGGGTGGCGTGCCTATTCAACACTGACCGAGTAGTCTCTCTACTGGACACCAAAGGGTTACCACCTCCCTGCGGCTGCGCACGCAGTGGCAATGGAAAAAAAAAAAAATTCACGCTGCCTCTCTAACAGCAGATTACTTCACTATACTCCTCTGGGAGTAACAAGAGTTACACAGACAGATCTTACAACAGCAGACAAACTGCGGACTTAAATTCATGAAATGCGGCGATTTGTGAAAAAGAATCGTGTCTGAAATCACTCTAACAAAACTTCTCACCGGAAACAGTGATCTCCCGCGACAGGTAGCTAATCTGCCGGGGGAATGAGGAATAACTGAATCCTTTACAGTTACTAGAACTTCGTAGCAGACTATACAGGATTCAGGGACTCGGAACCACGGCTCGCAGCTTCGCGAACACCGGGTCCGGCCAAAGGCCTTCTAATACAAGCGTACGGTGACGCTGAAATCGTGTACTCAAAAGTTAACAATCTGGGTACGCGCGTCGGCGGCGCACAGAGCAGAAAACGCAGCCCTGCTGCAATCCAAAACAATGATCCACGTGGTCTAGGCTCACACACAAACGTATGCAGCAGCAAAATCAGCGCTTTAACGAGAGCTCAATATCATCAGACATGAAACAGAAATACATCAAACGCCCAGTTCAGCAATTTCAAAAAGCATCAGACATACATTAAGCAATCAATCCAGTAATTTCAGCAAGCATAGCATAGATTTTAAGAAGTCTAAGTTGGGAAAGTTGAGTTTCTCACTAGTTTGGGAAATAATCTTAAAGTTGTCTGTTAGTGCTTTCCAGAAGTCGTTTGAAATGAGCCTCACACGGCCGCACCAAATAACATGTAGCGATTTAAAATTCAAAATAAATGTCGAAAATTTATCAAATTAAATTATGACATTTATGCACTCGTTGAAGGGGCACCACCCACCTTTCTGGTGGGAAAAGGACGAAACAAAGTTCAATTGAGTGATTAAACGTTGAATCAGTCTTAAACAGATTTAAATCAGTCTCTCATCTGAGGCCGGAATTCTTCATTCAGGGACTACTTTCTGGAAAAGACCACTAAGAGGCGATAATTTCAGATTAAATGGACAATTTATTAACAAGCTATATGATAACAAAACGTCAATAAATGATGATCAAATAATGAGAAAATCAAAGCACATCTAATGAATAAACGAAGGAATGGTTTAAATTAAACCTAAGACTAGAGGTTAATGATAGTGAGTGAATAAGGGAAAATTTAACCTACGTTAACGGAGTTACGAGGGTAAATTTAAAAGGAATTTGGAGAACTAAACTATAATTTATGAGAGTAAGCTACTCAACGGTTGACGGCATCACCCAGTTCTCATCACAGCAGTTTCGAGGAGTTTGCCTACTTTGGATGTCGGTTCTCAGCGGCACTCTTGGAATGGATCAGCTGAAGTTCTGGGCTACCGGACCGGATACTGAAGGTTCTGCGGGGAGTTCTTCCGCCGTGTCTGGATCTCAGCTTCAGGACCGTGTCAGCGCCGTTAGATACTTCAGATCTCTGGGCCTCTTGGAACCAGGTGGCAAAGCAGCTCGGCAGATGATGCTGGTCAGCGTTCAGGACTAGCTTGGTTGCAGATTAATTCGCGCCAATAATTTAAGAAAATAATTTCGCTGGCCAGCCGATATTATCTTCAGGAGTCACTTTAGCGAACAAAAATAAAACAAAAGACTTAGACTGAGGTTCTCTTATGCGCGCAGCTTGTTACTGAGGCTTTAAAGGACTTGGGTATGGTTTCATCCAAGTTTCTAGAAAAATCTGAGCTTAAGGCAATTAATAAAACGCGGGAAAATTGCAAACGCTGACGAAGACAAAAGAAAACTACGAACAAGACTAAAACAAAAGACTAGACTCAAACGAAGACGGAAACTAAAAAGAAGAGAGAGAGCACAGACTCCCGGGCTCTTTTAAACAGTCCAATGTGGGCGTGAACCAAGAGGAAAGGGACAATCAATGTTGTAACCCGATGCAGCACATCGACTGGCAGCGAATTAACTCAACTTGATATTAAAAGCGAGCTAGATTTACTTTACTCACTCACTATGATTAAATTGTTTGTAACATCACATACGATCACATTTCACTTCATTGTTTCTTACGAGCAGATGCATTAAAGCATGACATTGAAAACAGTAAACTTTTGATCAGCCGTCTTCTTGATAATAACAGAGGATTAACGACTTTTGAAAGTTAGAGAGGGACAGAAAACAAATTATCTATTCGAACAGAAACACCATCCAGCATAAGAAACACATACGTAATAATACTTGACAACACTATAACCTTGTCAATCAAGCTTCATAGATGATTAATATATATATTTGGGTGAGGTAGACAAAAACATAGTATGGATACATTCAGAAACTCTTAACTTGAGTCTAAACGAGTTTCACGTTACTACTTCTAAAACTACTAGCCTATCTTGGGAATACCATTTACTAAGCTACGAAGTGTATAAAACAAAAGGGAAGAAATACACATGATTAGATTCCTGCCATTTGGCTCTGATCAAACCATATTCAGGCATCACCACTAGGAGGAGCTCTTGATCCATGGAAATCCTGGAATAAATTTGTGAAGTTAACAGTTTGGCTTGTGGATATGTTACAAAATTGGGAAAAAGACCATTTCATTGAGAATGTGGTGTGCAGACAGAACATTCTGGTGAAGTGTCCATTAAACATGAAGTTAAACCATTTTCAGGCATCCTCTTCCTTCTGCTCCTTAAAGAAAGCCATGGAGAAACACAGTCATTCAAGGAATTTATGGTAGGGATCTGTTTTTTAGGACTTGGCGCCAAATGCAGCTTCGTTTTCCTTTTGGGTCATTTGGTTTAACCTGAGGTGTCAATTCTGATCTTTCCCAGCCAGGGTGAGAGGCTCCATGTTTATTGGTCTGTGTGGTTGATAAGCAACTTGTCCTTTTGGGAAGCGTTAAAGATTCATTATCACCTCCCAAATGGTTTCCTGGGTCGTAAACGGGAAATTGGTGTGAACCATTACTTCCCCCATCGACTCTCCAAACCAAGGGAGCCTGCATTCCTTTGAGGGGTGAATTAAAAGTGGATAGCAGAAAGCAGTTGTCTCGTTACAAGTTGTTGAGCTCATCCGGAATGATGCACTGGACGACTACACTGGCCTGTTCCTCCTCCCCCTGTAGTCTGTCATACAGTTCAGACCGTGCTACACGCACCTTGGGTCATTGCTCTGCTGGGCAGACTCAACTCGCTCTCTGTACTCCCTCTGGGATGTTTTAATAGTTCTTCTGAGTTCATACCTGGCTGTGCCTCTGTGTCGTCAGAGTTGAAGGGAGCGGTGCATGCTTTAAGTGCAGCACAAACCGTAAGCCCAAACCATGGTTTTTGGTTAGGTTAAGTGCGGATGGAGGTTTTTGGCACAACATTCTCAGTGCAGAGGGGTTTGTAACAGTCCTTGAATGGGGTTTAACAGTGGTCCACTGGTGGGGGCAGAAATATGTTGATAGTATTTGGGCAGAACTGCTTTCATGTTGGCTCTGTTAAAGTCTCCCACAACAATGAAGGCATAGTTCGGGTGTGAGTTTTCTAGTCCGTTAATAATTCTATACAACTCCTCCAGGGCCTGGGTCTCAGGAGCCTGGGGCGGGATGTATACTGCAGTAAGGATTACAGAGCTAAATTCTCTGGGCAGGTAAAAGGGGCGCACTTTGATAGTGAGCAGCCCTAGGACTGGTGTGCAGTGTGTTCTTAAAATCCATGCGTCCGTTGCCCACAAATTGTTCACCATAAAACACACACCCCCTCCACAAGACTTGCCAGAGTTCTTTGTTCTGTTGTGCCGGTAGATGGAAAGTTGTCAGGAGTTACAGCACAGTCGGGGGTGCACGGTTTAAGCCATGTTTCCGTGAATGCAAGGACACAACAGTTCCTTGTGTCCCCAAAAACTAGTCAAAAAGTCATTGACCCTGACGTAAGTACTTTTTCCTCCCTTGGGAG